CTCGTGGGGCCGTCTTGGGGTTTTGTGAGGTCGTTTCAGGGCTCTCTGGCGTCGTCTTGGGGCTCTTGTGGGCCGTCTTGGAGTCCTCTTAGGGGCCGCTGGCGTCTTCTTGGGGCGATTTGGGAGGCCTCTTGGCGTGTCCTGGGCCGCTGAGGAGCACACAAGGCGGGCATGCTGAAAATATACGTTTTCCTATGAGAAATTGACGATTTGTGCCTCCTTGGCGTGCTCTCGGGACCCTCTTGGGGCGTCTTTGCGGCCTCTTGGATGGTCGTGGAGCCCCCCCCGAAGGCTTCGGGCCCTCGTGGGCCGTCTCGGGACGCACTGAGGCCGTCTTGGAGCGCTCTTGGACGGTCTGGGAACCCCTCTGGGAGCGCCTCACCCGCCTGAGCGAGTCCGCGTGGTGGCGCCATAAAGGGCCGATTTTGTCCAATTGAGGCCCTGGGCTTCTCGCGCGCGCTTCCACTGGCCATGTAAGAGAGACTAGGGCTGACCCGTGGACTCCATCAACGACATCTGGCCAAGAGTATTCTAGGGGGGAGCGGCGGGAATGGTGCCGAAAGGCTATCCGCCCCTTCCACAGCAGCGCCCCGAGCTGCACCGGCACGCTCCGTGGCGCCTGCCAGCGCCGCCCGACGGGGACGATGACGGCGGCGGCGGCGAGACACAGCACGCTTGCGGGGAGGTAGTTCGGGCGCGCGGAGCCCCTGCGCGATGATCCCACGGTTAGCCACTTAGGGTCTCCTAGGGGCCGTGTGGGGGCCTCTTACTTCGAGGGAGCCTCTGGGCTCTCGTGGGCTCTCGTCGGTGCCGTTTGGGCCGTCTCGGAACCGTCCTGGGCCGCTTTGAGCGCCTCTTGGGCCGTCTGGGAGCCGTCTTGGATCGTCTTGGCGGCTCTTGGGGCTGTCTTGCGAGCCTTCGGAAGCCTTGCTGGAGCCGTCGTGGGCCGTCTTGACGTCTTGGGGCCTTGTCGGGGCCATCTTGGGGCCCTTCTGGCCCCCTCTTGGGGCCCCTCGGGAGCGCTCCTACCCTGTCCTGCCCTCCTCTTGGGGCCGCCATGGGCGCCTGAGGAACCGTCCTGGCGCAGTCTTGAGCCGTCTTGGGGCCCTCCTAACAGCCTCCTGAGGCGTCTTGGGACGATCTTGAGGGCCTGCGTGGCTGCCTTGAACGCTTCGAAGACGAAAAGCACGGGAACTCCGGAAATGTGCGTTTCACCTTGGGATTGGGACGATTGTCCTTGTTCGGGCTCTCCTGGGCTCTCTATGGAGCCCACTTGGAGCATTTTGGGGGCCTCTTCGGCCGTCGGGCGGCTGTCTTGGGCGTCTTCGAGCGCTCGGGGCCCGTCTCGGAGGCCCTATTGGACCGTCTTCGGGCCCTCTCGGGGGCCTCCAGGAGCGGCTCGGAGCGCTCTTGAGCCATCTTGGAAGCGCGCCGGGGCCCCGGGGCCCTCTGGGGAAGGTTCTGTGGACGTCTCATGGAGCACCCTGGAGGCCTCTCGGGCCGGCTTGGGCCAATCTTGGGCCAATCTCGAGCGTCTGGGGCCCACCTGGGGGCTTGTTGAGCCGACTTGGGGGCCCTTTGGGCCCGTCTTGGGGCTCTCTTGGCGGCCTCTTCGGCCGTCTTCGGGCTGTCTTGGGAGGTCGTGGATCGTGTGGAAGCCGACAAGGCGAGAACGGCAAAAGCCTTGCCAAAAACAAGAAAAATCTATGCTTTTTCCTGCTCGAGGCCCTCTGGGGAAGCTTCTGGGGAGGTCTCACGGAGCAACTTGGAGACCTGTCGGGCCGACTTGGGCCTCTTGGAGCTCTCTTGGCGTGTCTTCGAGCCTCTCTGGGCGGCCCATGGCGGCCCGGGGCCAGCCTGGGGCGATTTTGCCCCAGTTGATCCTGCAGCGTTCTGGCACGCTCGGCCCCCGGCATTAGAATATGGACTAGTGTGAACCCGCGTGGGTTAAATCCACGGTGTGCTTCGGGAAGCTTGCGGGAAGCCTCGGGAGGGTGTCGGGGACACTCCAGGGGCTATCGGGGGGGCCATGAGACATGTCGGCGAGAGAGCTATGCCTCGGTCCTCTTGGGTGTCTCGGGGAGGCTTTGGGGGCTGGATGGAGGTCCCCAACAGTTTCGTTGAGGGGGATGCCGCGGCATCGCGCTTCCAGACCTATCTTGGCGTCGGGCGGCGATGTGTCTCGGAAGGCTCTTGAGTCCGAGGTGGCTCAGGACGACGACCACGGCGACAGCGAGCAGGACGACGACGACGACGACGACGACGACGACGACGACGACGACGACGGCGGAGACGCACGACGACGACGACGACGATGACGACCACCACCACGACGACGACGGCGACGACCACGACGACGACGGCGACGACCACGACGACGACGGCGACGGCGACGGCGACGGCGACGGCGACGGCGACGGCGACGGCGACGGCGACGGCGACGGCGACGACGACGACGACGACGACGACGACGACGACGACCTCGGGTAAAAACCCTTCAGCGATTGTCGTGGCCTCTTCGAATTTCCTTCCGGTCGGAAGTCTGGCCGTCAAATGCTGTTACGATTATGATTGTGTGCGGGCCCCTGGGAAAGGTTTCGGGGACCTCTTGGGTGGTTCTCGGTCGACGACGACGACGACGACGACAACGACGACCTCGGATAAAGACCTTTCAGCGATTGTCGTGGCCTCTTCGAATTTCCTTCCGGTCGGAAGTCTGGCCGTCAAACGTTAAACGCCTGTTACGATTCTGATTGTGTGCGGACTCCCAGGGAAGCTTTTGGGGACCTCTTGGGTGGTTCTCGGGGCTCGTGTCGGTTCTCGTGGAAGCTTGCTGGAGGCCTCGGGAGACTCTGGAGGACACTCTAGGGGCTATCGGGACATCTTGGGTGGTTTCGGGCGACGACGACGACGACGACAACGACGACCTCGGATAAAGACCTTTCAGCGATTGTCGTGGCCTCTTCGAATTTCCTTCCGGTCGGAAGTCTGGCCGTCAAACGCATGTTACGATTATGATTGTGTGCGGGCCCCTGGGAAAGGTTTCGGGGACCTCTTGGGTGGTTCTTGGGGCTCGTGTCGGCTCTCGGGAGCTTGCTGGAGGCCTCGGGAGACCCTGGGGGACACTCTAGGGGCTATCGGGAAAGCCACGTGACCTCGAGGAGAGCCCCTTGGCGACGGCGGCGGCGGAAGGCGGAAGGCGGCGGCGCTGCGGGCCCCTTGGGAAGCTTTTGGGGACCTCTCGGGTGGTGTGGAGGTAACGAAGTAGGTATGGCTCGAGCGTCGAACTCCGCGTAGTCGGCATGGTGGCTCGGGCCGTCTTGGCGGCGCCTCCCGTGGCCCACTTGGGGCTCTCTGGGAAGCCTCTTGAGGGGTCCGTTTGGGGTTCTTGTGGACCGTCTCAGGGCTCTCTGGAGCGGTCCTGGGGCCCTCTTGGGCTGTTTTGGAAGGTTCGGGCTGCCTTGGGGCCCTCGTGGGGCCGTCTTGGGCTCTCTTGGGGGCCTCCTGTGGCCCTCTCGGGGTTTTCCTGGTAGCATTTTCGTGCCCTCCGGGGTCCGTCTTGGGCTGTCCTGGGGCTCCCTAGGGCCGTCTTGGGGCCCTCTTGGGCCGTCCAGGGGCTCTCTTGGGTGCTTCTTGGGCAATGTTGGGGCGGTCTTGGAGGCTCATCCGGCCGTCTTGGACGCTCCGCCGACCCTAAGATCGAATCTGCCAAATATGTACGTTTTCTGGGGGCATGGGGCGATTTGTTGGCTCGTGGGGGCCTTCTGGGGGGGGCCTCAGGGAGCGGCTTGGGAGCGTCCGGTCCAAAAAGCGTGGCCAGGCGCTCGCGACGCAGCACGGACGGCCTTGCCTTGCCCGAGAGGGCCTTCAGAGGCCCCAGGAAAATCCAGGAGGGCCTGAAACGACACAAGATTGAAGCTGCAAGTCATCATGTTGACCCCCGCTACAATGATCACTTTGGGGGCTCCACCACACGCCCAAGAGGGCTCTGGGAGGGGACCAGGATGGGCCCCCGAGTGGCCTCAAGAGGCAGCGCTCCGAGAGGGCCTTCCGAGGCCCCGAGAGAATCTCATTTCGACCCCCCGCCAAAAATGATCACTCTTTGGGCTCCCTGAGACGCCCAAGAGGGCTCTGGGAGGGGGCCCAGGATAACAGGGGATATGTCGACCCCCATCCCAGGCTTCGTGGGGTTTCCGAATGGACCAGAAATTTGGGGCCTAACCCTGGGATATACGATGGGGGGGTGTCCATTCTGGATAGGGGTGCGTCCGAATAGCCCCCTTGGGGTGTATCCCAGGGTTTTCCCATTCTTCTGAGCGGCCAGACTTTTCGGGCGAAACTCGGGGATTGGGGGAGAAACATCGCCCGCGACGGGAGGGGCCCCCGAGTGCCCTAAAGAGGCGCGGGGAGCGCTCCGAGAGGGCCGTCAGAGGAACCGAGAAGATCCGAGAGGGCCTGAAGCGACACGAGGTTGGGCATTCTGAGAGCCTATCGGAGCCGTCTCTGGAGAAGCCGCCCGACAGCTCGGAGAAGCCTCTGGGGGGCTGCCAGGAGCCTTCTGGAAGCCTGTCGCGGGCGCCTTGGAGACCTGCTGGCCGTGGGGGGTCGCGCTCCGGAGCTAGCCCGTCTGAACGGGTTCCTGGGTCATACGGTTTTCTCGCGGCCTCGGGGGGGCCCGCTGGGCCGCCCTCGGCCAATTTTGGAAGCTTCTGGGGCTGTCTGGGGCGACGTGGAGCCAGAAACGGGAGCTCAAGAAGAAGTTTCAAAACAACCCGACAATATCGATAGTTTCACGTCCTCGTGGCCCTCTTGGGAGGCCATCTGGGCGCCTGGTGGAGCCTGGTAAGGGCCTGCCTGCTGGAGCACTCGAGGAGCTCTCCTGGGCCAGGACGGCGTCGCTCCACGAGCGGGGCCGCGGAGGCCCCCGCCGCGGGCCTGGCGCGCGTAAGCAGTCGCCTCTTCTGGCACGCGCAGATTCCGGTGTTGTAGTATAGACAGACGACGCCGGGATCCAAATTCGCATCCCGCATCTCGCTGAGCAGCGCCAGAGCATGCCTCCACTGCTCGCCCTTGCCGCACGCGCTGATCCCAGCGCTGTAACTGATGGCGTTGGGCTCCAGCTTCGCCTCCCGCATCTCGCTGAGCAGCGTCAGAGCCTGCTGCCATTGCTCGCCCTCTTCGCACGCGCTGATGCCAGCGCTGTAGCTAATGACGTCGGGATCCAAACTCGCATCCCGCATCTCGCTGAGCAGCGCCAGAGGTTGCTGCCATTGCTCGCCCTTGCCGCACGCGCTGATACCAGCGTTGTAGCTAATGACATTGGGATCCAAACTCGCATCCCGCATCTCGCTGAGCAGCGTCAGAGCCTGCTGCCATTGCTCGCCCTTGCCGCACGCGCTGATCCCAGCGCTGTAGCTGATGACGTCAGACTCCAACGTCGCCTCCGACATCCCTCTGAGCAGCGCAAGAGCTTGCTGCCACTGATCGCCATTGACGCACGCGCTGATACCAGCGTTGTAGCTTATGACGGCGGGATCGAAACTCGCAAACCGCATCTTGCTGAGCAGCGCCAGAGCCTGCTGCCACTGCCCGCCCGGCTCGCACGCGCTGATCCCAGCGTTGTAGCTGATGACATCGGGCTCCAGCTTCGCCTCCCACATCTCGCTCAGCAGCACCAGAGCCCACCTCCACTGCTCGCCCTTGCCGCACGCGCTGATACCAGCGTTGTAACTAATGATATTGGGATCCAAACTCGCATCCCGCATCTCGCTGAGCAGCGTCAGAGCCTGCTGCCATTGCTCGCCCTTGCCGCACGCGCTGATACCAGCGCTGTAGCTAATGACGTCGGGATCCAAATTCACATCCCGCATCTCGCTGAGCAGCGCCAGAGCCTGCTGCCATTGCTCGCCCTTGCCGCACGCGCTGATCCCAGCGCTGTAGCTGATGACGTTAGACTCCAACTTCGAATCCGACATCCCTCTGAGCAGCGCCAGAGCCTGCTGCCACTGCTCGCCCTTGCCGCACGCGCTGATCCCAGCGCCGTAGCTGACTAGTGTGCACCCGTGGATGAAATACATGGTGTGCGCAACGTGTCGCGCGCTGGCAGGGGAAGGTGCCCCTGGTCACCCCTGTTTGGGTACCGCGGTTTGGGAGCCAGAGGAGCCTCTTGAAGGTGTCTCGGGCAGTTGGGAGTGGTCTCGTGTGGAGTCTGGGGCTTGGTGTGGGGCTTGCGGGGCCAGGGGAAGATCCTCCTTGTCAACCCTGCTGGGGTGCCTGGGGTGATGGTAGGCTTCCTGATCCAGGGCAGGAGGGGGGGTCCACGATCTGAAGCTTCGTGACGGGGTCTTGGGCAGGTCGGAGAGGTCTGTAGGGCCTGGTGGGGGGTCTGGGGCTTGTGTTGGGGCTTCCGGGTCTGGGAAGGTCCCCCCCTGGCACCCCTGCCTGGGTGCCTGGGGTGGAGATCTGAGGGCTCTCCGCTCTGGGGCTGGGCGCCCCAGGGACTCGCTAGGCGGCCCGCGGAGCGCATCCAAGGCAGGCGCGACAAAGCCGTAGCAGCTTCGCGAAGCTGTGGGCCGTCAAGAGCTCTGAGGGCTCAGAGGTCCGGCATACGCATGTGAGGCTCTCGAGAAGGTCAGGGGGAGCTCAGAGTGGTCCAGGGTCTGGGCTGCGGTCTGGGGCGTGGTGCGCCTGGGGTACGACATGAGGCACCTGAGAGGGTCTGAAACAGCTCAGAATGGCCTAGTGCTCGGGGTGGTGTGTGCGGCAGGTAAGGGTGGTCGGAGTGGTCTGGGCGCCAGGGTGGGGTCTGGAGCGTGGTGCGGCTGTGGAGAGACACGAGGCGGTTGAGAAGATCTGGAATAGGTCAGAGTGTCTAGGGTCTAGGGCTCGGGGTGGGGTGGGGCATGGGGCTTGGTCTGGGGCTTGCGGACGCAAGGGAAGAGCCCCCCCCCTTGTCACCAGTACTGCGCGGCCTGGGTAACAACGGTATCTGAGACCGTGAGAGCATGCCGCGGCCGCGGCTGGGGTCGACAGGAAGATCCCGAGAGAATCTGGGGAAGCTCAGAGTGGGGCCTGGGGTGGGGTTGAGCAACTTCTGGCGTCATGAGAAGGTCCTTCTGGAGCCGTTGGGGAACGTCCCAGAGGCTATCTGGGAGGCCGTCGGGGGGCGAGAGGGCTCGGTGTGGGGTGTGGGGCTTGGTTTGGGGATTGCGGGGAGCCGTCTGGGGGCGATGTGGGGGTCGTAGAGTCGCCGGCGAGCGCCCAGGAGCCTTCTGGGGCCGTCGGGGAGCGTGCCGAAGGCTCTCTGGGAGCTGGGAGGCCGTCTTGGGCCGAGCTGGGGGCGAGGGAGTCGTCGGTGAGCGGCCCAGGGGCCTTCTGGAGGTGTTGGGAGCTCGGTGTGTGGTGTGGGGCATGGTTTCTCTGGGAGGCCGTCTTGGGCCGAGCTGGGGGCCAGGGAGCCGTCGGTGAGCGGCCCAGGAGCCTTCTGGAGGTGTTGGGGGCTCGGTGTGGGGCATGGGCCTTGGTTTGGGGCTTGCGGTGAGCCGTCTGGGGGCGATGTGGGGGTCGTGGAGTCGTCGGCGAGCGGCCCAGGGGCCTTCTGGGGGGCCGTCAGGGAGCGTGCTGAAGTCTGGGAGGCCGTCTTGGGCCGAGCTGGGGGCGAGGGAGCCGTCGGTGAGCGGCCCAGGGGTCTTCTGGAGGTGTTGAGGGCTCGGTGTGGGGTGTGGGCCTTGGCTTGGGGCCGTCTGGGGGAGATGTGGGGGTCGTGGAGTCGTCGGCGAGCGGCCCAGGGGCCTCCTGGGGCCGTTCAGGGAGCGTGCTGAAGGCTCTCTGGGAGGCCGTCTTGGGAGCCGTCGGTGGGCGGCCCAGGGGCCTTCTGGAGCCGTCGGGGAGCGTCCCGGAGGCGCCCAGAGGGGCACGTGTTGGCGTTCCGAGCCGTGTGTTCAGCACGCCCCGCGGGCTCTCCAGGCACTCCAGGGGGCAGGCGTTCGACGAAAAGCCCCTGTCGCAAACGCGCTTCGGCCAGAATTGCGGCACGGATGACGTCGGGCTCCAGCTTCGCCTCCCGAATCTCGCGGAGCAAAGCCAAAGCAAGCTGCCATTGAGCACCCTTCTCGCACGCGGCGATCCCAGCGTTGTAGCTGACTGGGGCGAGCCCGTGGACTGCGTCCACAAAAGCTCGTCGGCGAGATTCGCGGGGTTTGGGAGGACATGTTTCTGCCAGGCTTTCAGGATGACGCTGGTGTCGCGGTGGCAGTCGCCACCTCGGGCCCTCCTCGGATGACATGCACCCTGTGGACCCTCTGTCGTTTTCGGCGCCGCCGCCGTCATCGCTGCCGTCGTCGGCCGAGGCCTCGAACAGCTCCGCCCGCGCGCCACGGCTGCACCGCGCAGCAGCGCAGGGGCAGCAGCCCGCGCGCGGCTGTCCAGTCCAGGCCCCTGGACAGGTGTGTCGAGGGTGGGGGTTCGAGGAGTTCTGTCGTCCGTGTAAACCTCTGAGGACCGGGGGTGTCTTGGGGCTGCTCGGGGTCTCTTGGGGCCGCATGTGGGTCTCTTTGGGACCTTCTAGGTCTGCTGGGGGCCTCTTTGGGGCCTGTGTACCTCTGAAGGCTGAGGGTGTCCTGGGACTGTTAGGGGGCCCCTTGGGGGCCTGACTTGGGCCTCTTCGGGACCTCTTAGGGCTTTAGGGGGCATCCTGGGGCCTGCTAGCGGTCTGGGGGGGCTTCGTCAGGCCCTGCTGGCATTCTGCAGGGTCATCTAGGAACAGACAGGGGGCGCGGATGCCTCCTGGGCCGTCGAAGAGCATGCGAAGCCCGGAAGAGCGAGAACGTCAAAACCACAGAAAAACCGAAAGGGAATGCATGATTTTTGCTTCCCGGCACCCTCCAGGGACGTCTCGTGGAGCCCCCATTGGGCCGTGTCGGGGCCCTGTTGGCCCTTCTGGATGGGCTATATTGGCGACCTTTGGGCCGTCTGGATGGGCTGCTTGGGCGGTCGTGGGGCCCTCTTGGGTCGTCTGGGGGGGCCTCTTGGAGGTCGGTGGGGGCTTGTTTGGACGATCGTGGAAGCCTCCTGGGCCGAGGTGGAGCATTGGAAGCCCGAAAAGGCGAGGACGTCAAATCAACAAAAACCCAAGGGACGGCAATGATTTTTGCCGCTCGGCGCCCTCTTGGGGCACCTCTCGAAGCTCTCTTGGGCCGTCTTGGGGCCCTCGTTTGTTTTGACATGGCAATCTCAAGGTGCAAGAAGCCCTTACTGCGCTGAGACTAGTTTCGCCTGTGGGGCTCATCAGTCTGCTAATGAGCCGCAGATTGCAGCAGTGCGCGAGCGATCTACAATCAAGATTTGTGTATGTCTGAGGGGACAGCACTAGCTCGAGGCCAGAAACGCACCACACTCGACGCCCACACTCGCCGAACACACTCGCGCCCACACTCCATGCCGACACTAGCACTCCATACTCGCCTCTCACACTCGCGCCCACTCTCTACGCCCACAGTCTACGCACACTCTCGCACCCCACACTGCACGCCCACACTCGAAGCCCACACTCACACCTCACACTCTACGCCCACACCCGCACCCCAACATACACACACACACACACACACACACCACACTCTACGCCCACAGTCTATGCACACACTCGCACCCCACACTCACACCCCAGACCAAACCCCGAGTTGATTTACCGACTTGATTAGACGAGTTGATTGCCCAAGTTGATTTACAGAGTTGACTTACCGAGTTGATTTACAGAGTTGGCTCCACGTGCCCTTGTGACACCCTGCCGGCCCAACTCCAGGTCAATGGGAAGAGCCTGTTCAAGCCGTCTCGGGGATGTCTTCGGCCGTCTTGGAGCTATCACGGGGCCCAATGGAGCCGTCCTTGGCCCGCCATTGCTCGACGGGGGCATGCCTGGGCGCCCCTGAGGCCTCTCCGGGGCCCGCTGGGGCGATTTCGGGTGTACCTGGACATTGTAATGATGACTACTGCTAGCCTGTGGCCTACAGGATATAGTAGCTGTCCGAGGTGGCCCAGTGGGTTCAGGTGGAGATGTTGCTGAAATGCTGTCGGGATGACATTGGAACTGAAACTTTGCTGCAATTGTCTGCGGCTGCAGCGTGCTGCCGCATGCTGCATGCTGTTGCTGGCTGTTGCTGTGTGTAGCCGCTGGTGTTGCTTGCTGCGAACTGCGTGTTGCTGCTGCTTGAAGCTTCTGCTCGTGGGCGGGACGAAGAGGGGGAGCGACGATCAGGCAGCGAAGCGAGGGGTCAGGCTCGAGGTGGTCAGTGGGAGAATCGGGGACCAGTTAGCGAGCAGCACGGCGCGAGGCGAGGAGCGTGGAGCGAAGAGCAATGAGCGAGAAACGATGCCAGAGGCTCGCGACGCAGACAGCGCACGAATGTCCCGATGGCCTGGGTGCGCGTGTTGCCGAACACCTGGTCTCGTCTCCTCTTCGGCCGCTCATTGGGGTCCTCTCTGGGGCTTCTTGAGCTCCCTTGGGGCCCTCCCGTGCCTCCTGGGGCCATCTGGGCGTCCGTTGGAACCTCCGGGTGGGGTCGTGGGAGGGGTCTGAAGGGCTCTCTGGGGGGGAGGGCATGTTGGGGCGGTCTTGGGTTCTCTTGGGGCCATCTTCGGGCCTGAAGGCGGCCCGGGCCCCTTGCCGAGCGTTCCGCAGCAGCGAGACACTGGACGGTGCCAGGCACCCGCTAAAACCGAGCGGACTTGTCCTCCCGCACAATGACCGCATTAGCGATCACATGAGGAGCGGTGTCACCAGCGCAATCGAAACAACAGAGGCTCCTCGCCCGCGTCCGCGTCTTCGGTTCACGAGGGAGGAGGAACGGGCGCGAGCACGGGCCAGCAGCCGCTCTCAAAAACGCAGCGGCATCGCCTGTCGGGGGCCCTCGGCGCAGGCATCGCAGAGCCTCTTGGGCCGCCTCGGCAGTGTCTTGGGGGGCGTGCCTGAGGGCCCTGTGGGGCCGCCTGGGGCTCTCCCAGGGCTCCGCGGGACCGTCGGGGGACATCTTGGGAGCGCCCTGGAGCTGTCCGTGGTTCTCCAAATGCGTTTTTGCTGGCTCCTCGGGCCCTTCGAAGGCTCCGTCCTGCTCGACACCGGACTCCTCTGGGACGCGCGGGCCCCTGCAATTGCGGAAGAGTAATGTCTACCAGCGGACCAAGCTCACCAGAGAGGCCACAAGAACCAGAGAAGCCAGGTAAATCCACGGAGGCCTCAGAGCTGTGCCGGGAGCAGCCGCTGACTACGTGCATGCGCATTCACGTGAGGGTGCTGCTGCTGAGTGCTGCGTGGCACCAGTGCTGCTGCTTGCCGCCGTTTGCTGGGGGGTTCTGCCGACCGCTCGTGCCTGTGCTGCTCGCTGTTGCCAGCTGCGGGGTGATACTGCTGCTGTTTGCTGCTCCTTGCTTGTGCCGTGTGCTCATGGCCGCTGCTGCTGGTTCCCGGCTGATGGATCTGGTGTCGGAACGGGAATGGCAGCGACGAGGATGGCTTCGGATACGAAGTTGCCCGGCAATGTAAAGAGCCGTTGAGGGCTGCAGTCGCCTATGACCTCGCTGAGCACAAAGAGACCTGGGCGACGTAACCCGCACGTTGGCAGAGGCCTGAGGCTAGAGCTGCAGACAGCCGCTAAACGCATTCGCACTCGCGGGCTCCACATTGGAGCGCAGGGGGCGTGTGCCAGTCGTGGGGCTGGGGCCTCTTTTGGCTATGCTCGGAGCGTTCTGGAGAGCTCTGGGGGCTCTGCTCTGGTGTCTCCCGGATTATTTTCGGGACTCGGTGGTCTTGGAGGGACTCTTTGAAAGATGCGGGGCAGTCCGAGGGGTCTTCCAGGCCGTTTCGGAGCCGCCTTGGGGCCGTCGGAGGCCAAACGGGGCTACCTGGGTCTCTCTTCGGGGCGACTTTGCCGCTCTTGAGGGCTATTGTGTGGCTCGCGGGCTCTTGTGGAGACCTCCGCGTCAGTGCTGGACCCTTCGACTGAAGCTACGAGCAGGGGGTTCTGGGAGCCCTCGAGGCGCCACCCAGGGGATTCCTGGACACGACCTGGGCGAAGGGGTTCTCCTTGAAGGCCCCCTTGGCTGACCTGATGCCCTGCCCGAGCGGCGCTCAGAGGTTCATGGCCAGCGCCCCAGAGCTTGCCAGAACCGCCTGCCACTCATAGTTCCCCTTGTCACACGCGCTGCTCCAAGCACTGTAGTATAGATGACGCACGGCTCCAACGTCGCCTGCGACATGTCGCTGATCAGCGCCAAAGCCTGCTGCCATTGGTTGCCCACCTCGCACGCGCTGACCCCGGCGTTGTAGCTTACGAGGTTGGGCGCCACCTTTGCCTTCCGCATCTCGTTGAGCAGAGACAGAGCCCGCTGCCATTGCTCACCTTTCCCGCACGCGCTGATCAAGGCGCTGTAGCTAATGACGTCAGGTTCCACTTCCGCCTCCCACATCTTGCTGAGCAGCGACAGGGCCCGCTGCCACTGTTGACCTTTCTCGCACGCGCTGATCCCAGCGTTGTAGATTACTGGAAGGCTCTGTTGTGTGAACCAATGGTGGGTATCACGTGATGCGATGAGCCAACGTCCGAAGCGTCCACAGAAGCCCTGGACGCGGATAAGGCCGAAAGGGGGGGCTGGAGTATGGTAACCCGCCGACCCCGTCGGCGTGTGTGAGAGGCCGAGCGAGACCCTTCAACGTCCAGCATGTCGGGGCGTTCCCAGCAAGCCGAAGCCCCGAAGGGAATCGCGCCACGTCACCAGCCCGAGTGGAGCCTTGCAGAGTCGCCAGCCCGAAAGAAACCGCCCCAGGTCGCAATCAAGTCGAAGAGAAACCCCCTCCCTGTCATCCCTTCCCCGCAGCAGGGGTGGCGCGGCCAGGGCACAGCCGCCTCGGCGGCGCCGCCTAGGCGAAGTCAACAAGCCAATCTCGCAAGCGCGACTCCATGTGATATAGTCTAGATGACGTCGGGCTCCAACCTTGACGCCAACATGTCACTGAGCAGCGCCAGAGCCTGCTGCCACTGCTTGCCTTTTTCGCATGCGCTGATCCCAGCACTGTAGCTGACTAGGGCTGACCCACGGACTCCGTCCACGACATCTGTCTGGAATGGTTCTCGGAGGAACGGCTGAGATTTTGCCGAAAACCTATGAACACGGCGGCGGCCGGGGCGGCGGCAGCGAGACCGCGCCTTCGTGTCCGAGCTCTAGCAGCGCTCCAGCAGTTTGGCCGTCGCGTGGCCACCGTCGTCGCCGTCATCGTCGGCGTCGTTGTCGTCGCCGCCGCGAGGCCGCCGTCGTACTTGTCGTAGTCGACGTCGTTGCCGTGGTGGTGGTGGTCGTCGTCGTGGGTTGCGGGCACCGGAAGGAGGCTGGCGACGTCGGTAGGACTGGCCCGTGGACTCCGTCCACGAAATCTGCACGAACTAGCAACTGATTGCGGGGCCCGACCTCGCATTCCGCGCATGCTACTGCGTGCAACTGCTTGCTGCCGCTTTTTGTGTACTCTTGGTAGTGCTCGAGGCGGCTGCTTCGTGTTTCTTGCTGTCGCTGCTTGCTGCCGCTGCTGTGTGCCGCCGCTGCTGCTGTCTGCGTCGTGCCCACGGGAGAGATCGATGCTGCCCCAGGGCACTCGAAATGTCGCACGGTGGACTGTGCATGGGGGCTCACTGCGGACGCGCAAGGAGGCACGTCCTTTTGGGCACCGTATCCACGCCCCTCTGGGATCAGACTGTGTTGGGGACTGCGCTCCCGGGAGGCCTCTGGTGTATCACGCCTCACTTGGGCGGCAGCGGCGAAGGGCACCCTGGAGCTGGGAGGCAATAGGAAGGGGAAGTAGCGCCCATGTTGCTGTGCATTGTTCGGCGCTCCTTCGCTCGCGCCCGCACCCACGGAGGAGGGCAACGCTACATATGCGGCCACTGATGGCGGGCGCTTTCTTCGCCTTGGGCACCGTTTGGGGGCCTCTCGAGGTTTCTTTTCAGCCTCCTGGGGGCCTTTTGGGACCCCCTTGGACCGTCTTGCGGCCTCCTGGGGGCCTCTTGGGGTCCTCTTGGGCCATCTTGGGTGCCCCTTGGGCCATCTTGGAGCCGTCTGCGGCCGTCTTGGAAGCCTCTGGGGCCGGCTTGGGGCCGTCTTGGGGCCGTCTTGGGCCGTCTGTGGCCGCTCTTGGGGCTGCCTTGGGTGACTCTGGGGCTGTCGTGGGCGCCTTAGGAGTGGTCCTGGGGCCGTCTTAGGCAGTCCTGGGGCCGTCGGGGGCCGTCTTGGGAGCCTCATGGGGGCCTTCTGAAACGTTTTGGGCCGATCTTGACTTGAGGGCCCGTATTGTCGTCGTGGACGATTTGGAAACGAAAAACATAGGAGTTGCGAAAATGCATGCTTTCCTTAGGTTTGGGGGCGATGTTTGCTTGTGCGAGCTCTCTCGGGCGTCTTCTGGGAGCCCACTGGAAGCGCTTTGGGGGCCTCTATGGCCGTCTGGAGACTACCTTGAGCGTCTGCGAGCGCTCTGGGACCATCTCGGAAGCCCTCTTGGACCGTCCTGGGGCGTCTTAGGGGTCCTCTCGGGGACTTCCGATGGGGTCTCGGAGCGCTCTTGGGCCAAGCGCGCCGAGGCCAGCCCGGGCTCGCGGGACCACGGCGGGCCCGCCGGGAGCGCCGGAGGAGCGCGTCCGACCCGCGCACTTCTCGCACGCGCGGGTCCTCGTGGTCCGTCTCGGGGGCCTCCTGGCCTGCCTTGGAAGCATCTGGGGCCATCCTGGAGCTCGCTTAGGGTTCTCTTGGGACGTCCAGGCGCTCTCTTGAGCGTCTCTGAGCCGTCTGGAGGCCGTCTTGGGACATCTTGGGACCCCCCAAGCCGTCTCGGAGCGCCGGGGGGACTCGCAAGGCGCCCCAGAAGGCCCGGGGAGCCTTTCGGGACAAAAAACTTCACGCAAAAGTCCCTGCATTGTTGAAGAGATGACGTCGGGCTCCAGCTTCGCCTCCCGCATGTCGCTCAGCAGCGCCAGGACCCGCTGCCACTGTCGGCCCTTCTTGCACGCGCTGATCCCAGCACTGTAGCTGATGACGTTGGGCTCCAGCTTCGCCTCCCGCATCTCGCTCAGCAGCGCCAGGGCCCGCTGCCACTGCTCGCCCTTCTCGCACGCACGAATCCCAGCGTTGTAACTGACTAGGGCTGACCCGTGGCCTACGGCCACGACAAGGCGGTTACTCGGGCGCAAGCGGGCCTGGACAATTTCTGAACCGAATGCCACCCCAGGTGCAAATGTTCAGAAATCGTCCGGGACCACCCCGCTCCATCTTCAGTGCATGACGCTGCTGCTCGGGATCCGCGCTGGCACACTTACTTGGCGTCGTCGTCGGTGTGATCGTGGTCGTCGGCTCAGTCACGTCGTCGTCGCTGTCGCTGTCGCTGTCGCTGTCGCTGTCGTCGTCGTCGTCGTCGTCGTCGTCGTCGTCGTCGTCGTTGTCGTCGTCGTGGTCGTCGTCTTCGTCGTCATCTCCGGTGTCGCCAGCGACGTCGCCGTCTTCCTCCTCCTCCTCCTCCTCCTCCTCCTCCTCCTCCTCTTCCTCCTGTTCCTCCAGCGCTTGCGTCGACGTAGTGCATGGAGGAGCAGTCGTGGTCTTGAGGGTCGGCGCGTGCATGTGACGAAAACCACCCACTCTGGAACGGAGCGCGGAACAGCAGTGGGCCTTGATAAGCTTCCTGGTTTGGTCTCCTGCTGGTGCTACTTGTTTGACGTGTGCTTGCTTGCTGCTTGAAGTAAGCGCTCTTTCCGCCACCGCTACTTCTTGGGAGCCTCGGCGTTCAGAGCTTTGGGTGCGTCACCGTTCGCTCTTGAAGTCTTCACGTGAGCACTTGGGAGCATTGGCGTTCAGAGCTTTGGGTGCGTCACCGTTCGCTCTTGAACCCTTCACGTTCAGAGGGTCGTGCGTCAACTAGACCCTGGTGGGGCTCTCTTCGGGGTTTTATGGGGCCGCCTTCTCCTCCTCCTCATCCCATCCTCCTGCTCCTCCTCCTCCTCCTCCTTCTCCTCCTCCTTGTCCTCCTCGTCCTCCTCCTCCTCCTCCGTCCCTGGATCCTTAATCTGTTCGGTCACCGATCGCCAATCGTGGACGCTATGGCGACGCTCTCCAGAAGGCGAGCATCCAAGGCCCTCGGAGCGTCCAAAGCGACTCTTCTGGGCCTGCGATCTGCGTCTCGCCTCTCGTCCGCCCCCCTCTCACGGAGGCAAATTCGAAGCCACTTGGGGCCTCATGGGGGCAGGCTGTTTGGGGTCTGCGATTTGCCTCTCGCCTCTCGTCCGCCCCCCCATCTCTTGGAGGCAATTTTGAAGGCACTTACGGCCTCTTGGGGCCGTTTGGTGGACTCTTGGGGCTTCTTTTCAGCTTCTTGGGAGCCTCTTGGGGCCCTCTTGGGCCATCTTGTGTGCCTCTTGGGCCGTCTTGGGGCCGTCTTGGGCCGTCGTGGGCTGTCTTGGGCGCCTCTTTGGCCGTCTTGGGGCCGTCTTGGGCGGCTCTGGGCGTCTCTTGGGTCGTCTTGGACTCCTCTTGGACCGTCCCGGGGCCGTCTTGGATCGCTTGGAACCCTCGCGGGGGCACCTTGGGGCGACTTTCGGGCTCGGTCTGGCTGTCGTGGACTCGTCGGAGACGAGCAGCACAAGCATGCCCCAAATGTGTGTGTCTTCCGGAGGGAACGTGGCGATCTCTGCCTCTTGGGGCTCTCCTGGGGCGTCCCCCAGGGCTGTCTTGGGAGCCTGCCGGCCTGCCTTTGGGGCCGTTTTGGAGCCGTCGGGGCAGCCTCTTGAGCGTCTCGGAGCCATCTTGGGGCCGTCGGGGCGCCCCTTTTGAGCGTCTGTCGGCTACACGCAAGGGTGACCCTGGGTAAGAATGACCTTTGGTGCGCGGTTTAGCGGGGGCCGCCTGGGGGGCCAAACACAGGCGCGCAAGCCGGCGACATCGCCTCGCACTCGGCGAATTTCGGCGATTGGGGGGCTCCATTGGGCCCGCACCAAAGGTCACTCCGGCCAAGGGTCACTCTTACGTGTAGCCGAGTCTGGGGCACCGTCGCGAGCGGCTCGCGGCCGTCGGGGACTCTGTTGATGCAGAAACCCTTCCCGCACGCAGCGTTCCCGGCATTGCAGGAGAGATGGCGTCGGGCTCCAGCTTCACTGCCCACATCTCGCTCAGCAGCGCCAGTGCCCGCTGCCACTGCCCACCCTTCTTGCACGCGCTGATCCAAGCATTGTAGCTGACTAGGGCAGACCTGTGGACTCCGTCCACGACATCAGCTCGACGTGGCGAGGGGTCTCTGGGCAAGCGCGGCGTGCCTGTCGCCTCTCGTCCGCTCCCCCGCTCCTGGAGGGAATTCTGAAGCCACTGAAGGCTTCGTGGGGGCCGTTTCGGAGCCTCTTCGGCCTTCTTTTGGGCCTCCCGGGGGGGCTCTTAGGGCCCTCTCGGGCCGTCTTGGGTGCCTCTTGGGCCGTCTTGGGGCCGTCTGAGGCCCGCCTCGGCGCCTCTTGGGCTGTCTTGGGCCGTCTTGGGCCGCTCCTGGGGCCGTCTTGGGTGCCTCTTGGGCCGTCTTGGGCGCCTCCTGGGCCGTCCTGGGGCCGTCCTGGGGCGTCTTGGGACCGTCTTGGGGCCCTCCTGGCCCGTCTTGGGGCTCTCTTGGGGTCCTCTTCGGCCGTCTTGGAGCGGTCGGGGGGACTTCTTGGGCCGTCTTGGAGCGTCGGGAAGCCGAAGAGGCGAGGAGGCCGAAAACATCGAAAAACACAATAGAAATCGACGATTTCTGTCGCTCGGGGCCCTCTTGGGAGGCCTCTTGGGAGGCCTCTTCGGGCGTCTTGGACGCCTCTTGGGCCGTCTGGGGCGAATCTCGGGCGTCTTGGGCCCATCTTTAAGCGTGCCGGGGCTCTCCGGGGCCGTCTTGGGGGCTTCTGGGGGCCCTCTCGACATGTCCTGGAGCCTGCCTGGGCGGCCCTGGGCGGCCCGGGGCCAGCCCGGGGCGGTTTTGGTGCATTGGGGCCTGCGCCATTCTGGCACGCACTGGGCCCTGCAATGTAGTAGAGATGACGTCGGGCTTCAGCTTCGCCTCCCACATCTCGTTCAGCAGCGCCAGCGCCCGCTGCCATTGCTCGCCCTTCTCACACGCGCTGATCCCAGCATTGTAGCTGACTAGGGCTGACCCGTGGACTCCGTCCACGACATCTTTCTGGAATGGTTCTCGGAGGAACGGCGCAGATTGTACCGAAAATCTACAAACACGGCGGCGGCTCGGGCGGCGGCAGCGAGACCGCGCCTTCGTGTCCGAGCTCTTGCAGCGCTGCAGCAGCTTGGCCCAGCGCACTGCTCGTTCACCCCCCTCCTATTGAGGACAGTTTCGAAGTCTCTCGGGGATGTGCGTCGAAGTCGAAGCCCATCTGAGGCGTCTCAGGAGCGCTCGGGGAAGGGCTCGGGAGGCCATCGGGGAAAGCCACCGAAAGCGCCGGGGAGGCTCGCAAGGATCTACAGGGAGGGCCCAAGAGAGCTTCAAGAAAATTTGAAATCCAGTGAACTCTTAAGAGAAACCGCTGTTGGGTCGGCCATCACCTCCGGGCGCGCCTTGATGGTGCGATCCAGTCGCATCACCGCCAACGGGAGGGTTTGTTCGCCATGTCCCATTCTGTTCGCCCAGAGGGTCTGTGGAGGCCTTCGGGCGAACAGAACGGGACAGGGCAAGGAATGGGGAAGACATGTCCGAATCTCCTGGGCCCCCCAGATGCTCGTCCGAAGAATGCGGAGAGGTCCCAGGGTCATATCAATTGGCTGCTGTCCCAGGGGTCCGGTCTGCTTGGCCCGAAGAGTTTGCCAAGGCCCCTGGGGGAACAGAATGGCACAGCATATCGGGCAAAGGGGGGCGGTAGCTGGCCTGTCAGACCCGGCGTTCGTCTTCTGCCCAAGCGGCGCGGGGCCCACGGGCCCCAGGGTTGGCGTCCCGCTGGGATTCCTCTTGTTCGCCCACAGGGTTGGAGGAGGCCTCCAGGCGAACAGAATGGGGCAGGACAATGAATGTGGGAGACTTGTCGCAAGCTCCCAGCCCCCCCAAGTGTGCGCCCGAAGGGTGTGGGGCCGCGTTGGCTCCCTCAAAGGGCCGTCTTGGAGCCGTCTAGGCCCGTCTTGAGGGCGCCGTTTGCCCTGATGGGGCCGTCTTGGTTCGTCGTGGGCCCCTCATGGGCGCGTCCGTAGGCCGTCCTGGGCCCATCGGGGTCCTCGTGGGGCTGTCTTGGAGCCGTCTGGGACCGTGAGGAGGCCGCCTTGGAGTCGTCTTGGGCCCCTCCTGTGCGCCTCCTTGGGCCGTCCTGGGCCCAGCAGGGGCCGTGTTGGCACCCTCTTGGGGCTGTCTTGGAGCCGTCTTGAGCCGTCGCAGCGCGCCTTGGGTTGTGCTGGGTCCGTCTTGGCCCGTCTTGGGGCCTTCCTGGGCGGTTCCTCGGACCCTCCTGGGACTTTCTGGGGCCTCTTGGTGCATCGGACCGCCGAAACGGCGGGAAACGCAAAGGGTGTAACAGTAAACAATGGAAAATTGACGATTTTTACCTAACAGCGAAGACTGATAGGTTTCTAGTGGGATCAAAAGAGAGCAGCAGATCACTCCACAGGGGGGTCCGGGCAGGTGTTGGGGCGTTTCCGGGCGGCATGAGCCGGGCTCGTTTTTCACCAACAGTCACACACTTCGTGCTCTTCGCCTTCCCAGAACTCCATTCCCAGGCCACATTCTGGGGGGCCGGATGCAACAGTCACACACAAAGTGCTCTTCGACATCCCAGAACGCCATTCCCGGGCCACATTCTGGGGGGCCGGATGCAACAGTCACACACTTCGTGCTCTTCGAGTTCCCAGAACGCCATTCCCGGGCCACATTTTGGATGCCCGGAGCCAACTGTAGGCCACTTCGTGCTCTTCTATTTCCCAGAACTCCATTCCCGGGCCACATTTTGAATGCCCGGAGCCAACTGTAGGCCACTTCGTGCTCTTCGAGTTCCCAGAACTCCATTCCCGGGCCACATTTTGAATGCCCGGAGCCAACTGTAGGCCACTTCGTGCTCTTCGAGTTCCCAGA